GGCCATGAAGGAAAACTACAAAGATGGCGGTGGCTCGGGAAACGACTTGGGCTTTTCTTTGAGACATGAGCATATAGAGGAACTTAAGCCATCTATTTAGGAAGAAAGGGTGTATAATTCTTCTTTGTAGGTGTGTGGTGGACTGCCTTGTTTACTGATTTCCATAGGGAGGAATATGTCACTTTGTTGCTCCCATTGGTCCTAGCACTGACCAATTGTGTGACAGTTTGAAAGACAACCGTAGATTATGGCTCATGACTCGGTTTTGTCAATGGCTTGTGGCATTGCATTGTGTTTTCCTTTATAGGATGGCTTGCCAGGCTACAGAAATGGCACATAGCATAGACACAAATGTTAATTAGAGATCATTTTTTCAAACAAGACAACAATAGTTATGCATGAAACAGCGGAACCCAGAATAAATGTTCTAACTTTCAAATAAATGCAGTTGCAGCAGATCTGGGGAAACCTGTCAGGTGACTGTTTTCTGACTGCAAGAGTTCAGCAGACTGTGAATGCCCTACATCTGTTACTGAAACACACAGACTATGTTTAGCTGGACTTTCACAATGCTGTTTGCAGACTTGTAGCTCTGCTACTTGTCAGTAACAGCTTATGGGCGTTTGTCTGCTTACACACTGAAACACAGACGTCAGAACTTCAAAGAGAACAAACACAAAAAGACTTTTCTTTATGCTTTCACCATCATCGCTCACGTTGTTATGATGTTAGACCCGCATCCAGTCTGGAAAGTGTTTCCATGTCTGTGGGAAACCTTCTTCCAGTACGCCACCACCCACACTGTGTGTGTGTGTTGCAGTTTTCAACGAGTTTCCCAAAAGTTTCACAGATAATCTGAAAGTCAGACTTGCACAACACGTGGTGGTCCAACTTAGAAAATTACTAAGTGATACATTATTTTTGATTGAATTGATTTGATAAAAACTTGGAAAATAATGTTAGAATCAACTGACGTTTCAAACGTGAAGAAGAAAATCTAAAAGGCCTATCTCTGCATGCAAAGACCTTTTTTAAAAAGTAATTCGTAAGGCTTGCAGCAGGCTCTGCTGACTTGTTCACTGGGTTATTTTTAGACCTTTGTTTAGACTTTGTCACAACGTTTTACATTGTTGAAATTCTGGGCAAAGTTTAAATAGCTCATTTATTTTAGACGTGCGTCTTTCATTCTGAACCTAGAAGAAAATGGTCAGACAGTTGCAACTGTACATTATGAAAAGGGGCACGTAGAGAAAAAAATAAAACAATAATCGTCTGGAATAGTTCCCTCTCAAAGTAAATCGATCATAAATGTCTCATCGTTTAACCCTCTGGAGGCAGGCGTTGCAGATTTGCAACATTAGAACCTACCTACCTGGTTACTCCACATACGTATTTCATGAGCATTTTTTAACTCAGAAGTAGCCCTGAAGGACTTAGTTGTTCGTCCTTTTATCAAAACTTATTTTGAGCCTGAGAGGGTTAAATCAGAGAACTTTTCACTGAGCTGACGAAATGTCCCGACAGATTCTGTAGCTCCTGATAAGATGAATTCAGCAATAGCTCAGGTTTTGCTGCAATCTAAAACAACACGTTGTCTTCCTCATACCTGTAAACAGCTGACTGGAAAACCATTTTTTTCTATTGACAGGAGGAATGCACTTGATTATCTTATTGTTTTTATGAGTTTAAACCAAGCCTTGTGTAACATACATCAATAAAATAAAATATAAACAATAACAACTGTATTAAAAACACTGTCAAACTCAAACTTGGTTGGTGTTATCAGATTTATCATCATGCAGGTTTGACCCAAAATGTGACATACTGAGCCAAATATAAACCCTCATTAATGATCTTATGTCTCAATGACTTTATTTGGCTTTAAAGAGACAATGTGTAGTTTTTATATCTGGAAATATCCATCGAAGTGTTGTTGAAAAAAATTAAATGACACCCAGTTGTTGAAAAATAATGGTGGCTTTGTAAAATATAACCAAAAAAAATCTGGCATAAAATACATGGGAGCGGGTCTTACCCCGGTTTCACATTGAAAGCATCAGCGGTACGAAATGGCACTGCTTCAGATAGAACCCATTATAGTCTATGGAGTGGAGCCGCAATGCGACAATTTTCAGGTGCATCCCAGAAGCAGCACGCCACGTCACTAAAGATAGGATCCGGTTTTATTTTTGCCGCCAGCCACTTTTGGGCCATGTCCATTTCTGCAGTTAATATATGGCTGGACAGGAAATCATACGGTGTAAAATCCCTGGTAGTTCTCTAAATAAAAGTACTGCAGCGATGAAATTTCATTTAATTTATAAGTAGCATGTGTAACCCAGCGACTTATTTACTCCAGGAATCATTCCAGAAGTGCAGCGGTGTGTTTTTAACGGCGCTAATCCTGGCAGTGCAGACAAACAATTACATCAAACAGCTACATCAAATGTGCATTTCCTTCTTTTTGGTTTAATGGCAGATTACATAAACAAATCGTGACCTTTGAAGTCTCAAGGGATCTTGTGATTTCGCAAGTCCAGCAAAGAGCACAGTGAGGGAGCCGTGCCACGGCCAAGACTCTCCCGGTGCAAAAAGGACCACTTTGAAGTTCACAAGTAAACAATTCCGCTGCAGTTTCGCACAGCTGATGCTTCCGATGTGAAACCGGGGTTAGGCTCTGGGTGGGACCATATTACACCTGCTGATTTCTTCTACAGGAGCCTGTGAGGACAAAACACATTTACTGATTCGTGACAAACGGTTACAAAACTTTAGTCATCCATAAATGTTGTTGTTTTACACATTTACCTCTTCGCTTGTTGCAAGTGATGAAAGGGAGTCCGTGTGCTTGTTATTTAGCTGGAGGTTTCGCTCCCAGAGATTTTTGACCCTAATGGCCATCCGTTGGTATTGTCTTACTTGACACAAAAAACTGCTTTCTTGCAGTTAATTAGGTATGTTCTGCCCCTATTGCCAGAGAAAATACACAGCGTCACAATTCAACAGGTCCCTTGTTAGAAACAGGAGAAGGTTTATTTAACGGATTTAATAATGCTCTTATATTTATATTTTTAAATGCATGGAACTAATGAGCATATTTTTTTATTAATTGTAAAAAACACTAAAAACAACAGAGAAATGTCTCGAACTTTGTATTAGACAGGAGATTAAGCTGGATTTCCATCTCAGATCTTCAGGTAAACAGTTTAACTCAAGTGACCAAACCCATATAGACATTTTAACTTTAAACTTTATTCCTATTTGTAGTATTTTCCCCTGATATTGGATAGTTTTAATAATTTGAGAACAACCAGTCTCTTCAATACATTTTATTGAAGTTAGATACTAACTTGGTTTTATTTCCGCTGCTCAGGTTCATGCACTGACACACCCTTTCTGAATGAACAAACACATTTATTAGTTTTCACAAACAAACAAGTGTTGTTAAACTTAGAGATCAGGTACTGGCTTTGAGCCAATAACACTGGTTTTATGTGACTACTGTGTGCGTAGATGCCTGCTGTTAATAAAACAAATATGCAGTTAATTACTTTGACACGAGTTTGAGGAATGATTCAGCATCTGTGCTAATGATTTTTATTTGCAAGTTTTGATCGTTTGTTCAGAGAAATCTGAGGATCTGCGTTATTGTTTTCTTCGTGCCAACAAGACACCAAGAGCTGCCTTGGCTGCAGTGAAACCATTTAATCTAAAATCTCAGAATCAATTTGTCTGCGGTGCATTCACATCCATTGCACGGAGAATGCATAGTTGTCATTATTGTTCAGCTCAGACAAGAACATTCTTTCACTGTATTGCTCGCCAGCAATGTGCACACTTTAAAAAATAAGTTCATGAAAAGGGAAGGGCGTGAGCTGAACTCATGTTTTTGCAAAAAGAGAAACACGTTATTCATTGTGTCCTTTAAGGGAGTTGACAGGAGTTTAAAAATACCAAGTATGTATAAAGTGTACAAGTTTCTGCTTTACAGGACTCATAATTCCAATATGAAGCCGAAAGAGACAACTTAAGCTCTGCTTAGTGAAGAGCCGATCACACACAAGCTGCTACTTGTGGTGAAGCAGATGAATGCCTGCTGTTTGGGCTCTTGTCATTGTGTGGTTAACTTAAAGGACTTGCTTGACATGCCACTGTTGAAAACGATGACTTTACCTCAGCGTCTGTGTCACATAAAAACACATCATTACCTGAAAATCAAAACACGCAGCACCAACACAAACACATAGAAGCTACACTTTAATAAAGAAACAGTTTGCACGTGCAACAGCACTCAGTGACAATGTTTCCAGGGTATGAGTATGATGTCAACCTCGACTTGCAGGTGTTGGATGGGGGTAGTGTTTTTTTTTCTGTTGTTTTTTTCTGCACAACCGAAAGGTGCTTATATTTGTTCTGCTAGACACAAACATGTTCAGTCGGAGATGGATAAGTTGCCTAATTGGTTAATTGGCCACATTTACAAGGATCTCCCCTTTAGTTTGAGTTTGATGAAACTTTTATAATCTTAATCGGATGATAAATCCCGACAGGTGATTTGTTATAGATGCATGAACCTTCCTGGCACAAAGCTGTAAAAACAGAGCAACACTGGGCAGCAAGTGAAAGTTGACACTGGCCATTTAGGTTCTCACCTGGACTGGAAGTGCACTGTTTAAATGTTCACAACAACAGCCTGATGAGGGAATTTGTCATCTGAGGAAGTTTTACTCCATAAAGTGGTCATATTGCATCCTGGATTATGTTTTAGATTGAGGATTGACGCCCCCTGGTTGTTTCAGGTACAACTAACCTATCTGATCACATTTTACAGGTAAATTGCTTCAAATAATATTTTTTTAAAAATTTATGTTTAATTTAATCGAATAATCAATCATAACTTGCGCTGTTATGATTTTTGGCGTTCCAAATGTTTCTAAACCCTCTCGCTCCGCCCCATTTGGGTTGGTCCTATAAGGTGAGACTCATATAAACCTCAGCTCACTCACAGTTTAGGTGAGACGGGCTTCAGTGCTCGGGCAGGTATGACGGCAGATTCACGTTTCTTTGGAGACTGCGTTAGACACTACGCGTCCTGACGCACAAAGAGCTTTACGCACAGAAGTCTGCTAGTTATTGTTTTCTGCTGCAAAACCTCTGAGGATGAAGTTGGAGGTGTTGTGTGGATGTCATAACGTGAAACACTTGGAGGCGACCGGGGAAGCAGAGAGGAAACCGAGGTCTCTTGCTTCTGCAGAGGAAGAGCTGGGGTCGGACGGAGACTGCGTGGCGCACAGCCCTCCACCACCTGCTCCCCCGTGTGGAGGGGGTAAATCCAAACCGTACACGCGCAGACCAAAACCCCCGCTTTCTTACATCGCTCTCATCGCCATGGCAATTCGAGATTCCCCCTCTGGACGCCCGACTCTGGCGGAGATCAACGATTATCTGATGAAGAAGTTCCCGTTCTTCAGAGGCAGCTACACCGGCTGGAGGAACTCGGTCCGACATAACCTGTCTCTTAATGACTGCTTCCTCAAAGTGCTCCGGGACCCGTCTAGGCCCTGGGGGAAGGATAATTACTGGATGCTGAACCCTCAGAGCGAGTACACCTTCGCTGACGGTGTGTTCCGGCGCAGGAGAAAACGCATCAGCAAGAAGTTCCACCGGCAGCAGGAGGTGTCCGGGCGCGCGGAGGAGGCACAGATGAATCCATCATCTCCAACCACCGACTCATGTCCCAAGTTCACCAGCTCCTTTGCCATTGACAGCATCCTCAGCAAGCCGTTCAAGGGAGACCTAACCACGAGGTCCACCCCTCTTTACCCTGCGCTCGTCTGGCCACCGTACTCCGGACTTCTGACACCTCATCCGAATCCACCTGCTTTATATTCTTTTGTTTAGTTATTTGGACTCAGTCGGTGCAGAAGAGCATAAAAACAGACTTATTGATTAAAACCATCATGAGTTTTGAGGAAAAGAGGTTTTGTTTTGTGTGGAAACTTTAACTTGAATTATTTTTGTGATAAAATTGTGTTTGTTGCACTTAATGGTTGTTTTCCTTTCAACTGCATGACTTTCTCTGCCCCCAGCAGAGAGCTATGTGTTCTAAATGTTACTGAATTAAACTCTTAGCTGTGGGGTTTCACCCACGAACATTCAAGTGCACTTAGAACATTTTTTCCCTCATTTGTTTCTAAAGAAACATTTTTCAGCTGAATAAAAAGTAACTTATTATGACTTGATGTGTTTGATTTTGGAATATGAAAACTTGAAATTTAAGTCAGTCACGTGTTTTAAGACAGCAGCAGGCGTGGACAGGCTGGACCGCCGCTGGTCAAGGATGCGCCGCCGGGGGCCAAAGCAAATGGCAGAGCTCCTTGAGGCCAGCGGGCCATAGGCCTTGGCAGACAAGATCACTCCAACTGCAAGGAGGGCGGCGAGTGTGGCAAGGGGGCTGCCAGAGCTCAGACCACCACCACCGGTCTTGAGGAGCAGCAAGATCAAACCGAGAAATGGCAATAGAATTTTTTTAAGTAAAAAAAACAAGGTCCGGAGGCTGTGAGCAGGCAAGGTGTAAGGCTGGAAGATCTACTAACAAAAAAGTTTTCAATAATCTGGCAGGGAACTGGTGGCTGGCTGAATATATAGCAGGGGGAGCATAATGAGCAGATGACAGGGACAGGTGAGATGAAGGAAGTGGCTGAGGGCTTAATGAGGAGGCAGCAGAGGAGGGTGTAAGGCGGGGAGTCATGACAATATTACTTTGTTTGCATGATTGGTTGTTCCACTTGGACAATTGGGAGTGGCATTGATGATGACACTAATGATTATAATAATAAAACCATCACCATCATCATCACCACACATGCACAGGTAATTTGCTTCACAAATAGGCTCTGACCTCAGATCAGTAAAATTAACTGAAATGTAAATATTAACAGCTTATCTTTCATGCACAGATTATTCTTTTTAATCTTGCTGGGGGAAATAAATTTCGTCCCAATTGTTCCACGTGTTCTGTTTTTTCCCAACACTCACGCCCTATTCCTATAATTTTCGATGCATTGCGCAGATAACCGAGCTTGAGAGGCAAATGTTTGCCCAACCTCTATATTCTTCCAACATAGTGTGCCAATCGTGAGGATGAGAATTTTAGAAAGTCACGGAAGAGGAGGTTCGTCTTCCTCGTGCTGCATCTGGCCAGGGAGGCAGTTCCTGGAGATTTTTTTTCGAATCTGATAGAGGAGAGAGAAGAGGGTGGGGTGGGGGTGGGGATGGGGTGAATGGGTGGGATGTAAAACATCGAAGGAGATTATGGAACTGATGGATAGAAGGTGGAGAGGTGTTCGCCAGGGTGGATGAGCGCCAGTCCGTGGGATTCTTTGTCAGCTATGGACGGAGAGAGGGAGGACGGTGGAAGAAGGCTTAAAATGCGAGGTGAAGAACTTTAACTGGCGCTAGATTCCGAAACGATACGCAAACATGACCGACATTTCCCATGATCATCTGAATCCAGTCGTTCCTGTGCACTCCGATCCGAGTGCCGCTCTGTTTGGCGCACAGCCGGAGAGGGTCCAGAGCGCAGCTAACGGAAAAAAAGGGAATGCATCCTCGAAGCGTCCTGAAAAGCCCCCCTACTCATACATCGCCCTCATAGTGATGGCGATCCAGAGCTCACCGAACAAAAGACTGACTCTGAGTGAGATTTATCAGTTCCTGCAGGCGCGCTTTCCTTTCTTCAGGGGCACGTACCAAGGGTGGAAAAATTCAGTGAGACACAATTTGTCTTTGAATGAATGTTTTATAAAATTGCCAAAAGGTCTGGGGAGACCTGGCAAGGGCCACCACTGGACCGTTGATCCGGGCAGTGAGTTCATGTTCGAGGAGGGCTTCTTCCGGCGCAGGCCGCGCGGGTTTCGAAGAAAATGTCAAGCTATGCAACGCGGGTACCGGGTGATGAAAGGATTAGGGCTAGGTGGGGCGATGCTGCCACAGCACAGCTTTGATTTCCCTCCAGGCTCGTTTGCATCCAGCTACAACTTAGACGGGATGGGTAACCCGGCTCCAGGTGGGTTTGAGGGACTCGGAGGGGGCCGCAGCTCTAACACAGATTATTACCCGGCCAGCAGCAGCCCGCTGCAGATGATGAGCGCTTTAGACTCTCAGTCTCATTATGTTAATGCAGCTGCGCAGTGGAGTGCACCTGCATCCGTAAACATCAAGCAGCAAGCCCCAAACAGCGATTCATCTCTTTCTCTGGAGCAGGGCCTGCACCACAGTGCGCGAGACCCAGCTGATAATTCAGGTAAATTATCACATCTTGCCCATTCATGCCATTTTCAGCTCTATAGGTTAAATTAAAACTACCGGAGAAAACCACAAGCATGAAGATTTAGTTAAATAATTTCAACAAACATATTCCCCTTTTCTCAAAACAATTTAATTTTGAGCAAAAGAAATAACTTGAAATAAAATAACACTAGACAGATTTTAACATGAGATTGACCCTTATTTAAGTAAAAAAAGGAATAAAACATTTCCCGTTTTCATATTGTTTACATTTTTTATGCTGCTCAAAATTATATGCAAATTACGCAAAATAGCTTCGCCAGCATGCTTGGTTTTTATTTCTTTTTACTTATTTTTACTTGTATGTAATGAAAATGTCTTAAAGGCAAATAAGGAAGGTAATAAAAAAGTGAACCAACACAACTAACTTTTGAAAATTGACTGAGGCCCTTTGTTTATATAACAGTTTATGTACCAACAATTATAGCAATAAAATGAATTGGGTTTAACTTTTAATAAAATGCATCTAAACGTTTTCAGAAATGAATGTTTAAAAATTTTATGATGTTTCAAGTCACCCACAGACTTTGTTTGTTCTGTTATATTGATATTTGCTTCATTTGGAAACTTGTGTAATAAAAAGTGATAAACTAAACCACACGCACAATAATTCTAATACATTCCTACAATTGTGTTTAGAACTTCCAAATGTCTAAAACTATCCAACAGTTTGAAAGTTTATTTTTTGTTTTGTTTTATTTTAGCTGAACTTCAGAGATGTTGACCTTTTGGACCTTGTTTGTTTTCAGTGGGATTGTCTCTGTGTTCCAGCCACTCTGCTGCTCCTGTTCGTGACAGGAAGGAATTCCTTTTAAACATAAACGGAATCTCTCTTCTCCATCCGAACTGCGGAAGGTCTTTTTACCATCATCACCTTCCTCATCAGCATCATCAGCAGAGCGTTTATCAGGACGAGAAGTCAGGTGTTATGTGACATTAGGATAAACACAGCAACACTAATTAAAACGCAACACAATTCTAACATAAAAAAGAATTTATGTAAAATATTCAGATATGTTAAATTGACTGACTTCACCGGAAATTAACATAAAATAATACAATAGTGACACAGTCTGTTTTCTTTGGCTTGGAATTTTATTTGTATTTTTTATAAGACTAACTTATTTACAAATTTTTTTCTAGTTTTGTATTGTTAATCAGACATTTATGCACATTCTTCATATTTACTTTTAAATCATCCTACTGGTATTTCTTCTCAGCCTACTGTTATTTCCTCCAAACTCAAAAACATTTGTTTTTCATTTTAAATTAAAATTTTAAGCAAAAGTTTTCAATTTTACGTATTACTGTATCATGAATTCCAGCTGCTAAAATGGCTGAAAAAGACACGTTTACAAATAATTATGGTGCACGTGTTGTTGCATAATGACAAGAACATGGGTAAATTAAGTTTTGTACAGATTTGTGTGTTTTTCCTGAGGCTGCCCAGTTGCTCAGGATTTTGCGTCTTCGTCTCTGCGGTGTCAACGCTGGATCCAGTATTTTAGAAATGCACTGCCCCCTTGTGGTGACTAGATGCGAAAGCAGGTGAAACAGAAAAGGTTTACTTTTTTGTGATTGTGGTTGATGAATGTTTTAATATCAGCGTGTTGTTCGTGAATATTTTAGAAAATAGGACCCATGCAACACTGGGAATAAAAACTCTAAAGTTAAAGTTGAAATTAAATGTTTTTGTTTGTTTGTTTCCTGCTTCCATGTAGTATTTTAAAACCAAATTTATAATAATCCCATTAATCCCATCCTGGGCTGCTTTAAGATGACTGGATAGAGTTTGGGTCGTTGTTCTGTAAGATGATTTCAGCGCCAACAATAAATTTAATCACATTTTCAGATGTTTGCTGTAGCTTCTCGTTAAAAAGCCGTTTTCGTTTTGTTGTGTTAAACAATAGGATCACAGATATATAGAAATTTCTTTATTGTCAGACTTTTTTACGCTGTCCGCGGTGCTGAAAACCGTTTACATCAAAAACAGAATAATCCTCATTGGGCTATGCAGTTATTACATTTTATAATGCCGGTTTTAACTTTTCTCTGTTGCACATTCACCTGATTTATAGAAAAAAAGCTCAAACTGCTCGACAGCTAGAATTATAAACAGATGCCAGTTTAAAATCAGTTAAGAGCAAGAACAAAATCCTGTCATATTTTTATTTTATTTGCAGGTCTTGAATTTCAGAATTGATCTTAGTTAAAAATATGTCTGTGTATTTTTAATTATTTAGAGAAACGTTAATACCAATATTTAAAATGCATTTATCAAGATGACAAACAACGTTATCATTAAACTTTAAAATAACAATAAAAAAATCTCAGTTAAATTTTCATGCAATTTATTCTGAAAAAACTCTTGAAGCAAAAAGTAGCAAATAAAGAAAATTGCAGCTCAAGACTAAAGATCTTACTCTGTGTTTGTGGATTTCAGGAGAATAAACAAATATGCGCTGAACAGGTTTAATTTGAATTGTTAAGGAAAAAAGCGAGATGGGGGACTTCAAGAACACTTTGAGCTCTCATAACTTTAAAAGCTGTGCAGTTGTCTTTGTTTTAGAGATTAGATTTGGTTGGAGAGAAAAAATACAATCAAATAAAGTAATGTGTAAAATAGTAAACCTAAAAATAACAGCAAATAATTATGCACAGACAAAACTAATAATGAGGAAGCTGTATTTTATGTAGCTCTGAAACTAGAGAACAAAAATAAATATTATATTTCATTTGGATGTGAAGATGTCTTAATCTGGGATAAACAAACAAACAAAAAAGCAAACATTTATTCAGCAATATTTTAATTACCACAAATAAATCTAAATAATCTGTTTATGATGCACACTATTTAGTGTTACTGACACGGTTGTATATTAATTTATTATCTGTATAATTATTTAGAATAAAAAGACATGACTAATAAAATGGTTTTATGTGGCCACGTAGCAATGTATCCAATTTGATCAACTTTCCTTCTGAAAATCACAATGACAAACAAACACATTATATTTAACCGGTCAAGATGATGATTATTTTGTTTATTATGAATCTGCTTAAGCGCCCCCCAAAAATGGGCTAAAAACGCCCATGTGCTTCAGTCTGATGCACAAATCGTGTCTCTTTAGCTGCAGTACTTAAATCTATCAATAGGTGGCAGCCACTTCAAATTAACACTACACTGGTCTACCTTAGTCAAGGTCACGTGATTCGTCCTGTGATTTGTAAAACTTGGATGGGTAACAAATAAAGAATTTTGATAAAATTTCGATCACCTTTATAAAAAGTTGTAAAAAGTTTGCATGTCATCATGTTTTCTCATTTGAAGACCAACCGTACCTGTAATTGCTCTTGGGAAAACTGGGGAAAGTAAAGAAAGGGAAGAATAAAATCGCACGACTAAAGTCGACCCCACCCTCACCCCCCACCACCACCACCCCAAAAGTGAGGAATCTTATCTCAGTGAAAATACATGTGCTGACCGCTAGGTGGAGACAAAATCTAAATTTGATTCAGAACCTCGACCTGAATCTTCTTTTTTTCTTAATGCTTCTCTAACAATGTCAGAGTTGCATTTTCTGTGCAGGAGAGAGGGGTCCAAAATATAACATTTTAATTTTTGAACTTTTTGTTTAAATCGTTTTATTTTTCTCACTTAATTCTTCATAAGACCCAATAAATCTGTTAACTGGATTTACTATTTTCTCATGTGTTGGGATGTTCAGTGGTTTTATGACTAGAAGCAAAAAAATTAACGCAACGCAAGCATTGCACTGATTTAATATTAATCCGCTCCTTCAATATCTAAGCAGGTTACCTGAGTAGCTATTTATATTTGTGATAAATAGATTTAGGCGTCCATGGAATGTTCTTATTTGTGTTTTGCATCTATTTAACGCTGTGTTTAGGTGCCTCAGCCACGAATCCCTTTAAATGACCTGGAGTTGGGGAGGACTGGGTGGGCAGACCGAGGAGGCATTAAGTAAAAGGCCCGTCGTGAATTGTGTAAACAACCCAGGGCGGTGGAAAAAGTTCATGCCCGGGTCCATGTAAGGAGAAACCAGCAGAGCGCCGCAGGGCACCACGCGGACATTTAATGAGTCCGACCTGAGGAGGATTACAGAGAGATCGGTACTGGAACATCGTCTCGCGATCATCATTAACAATTTCATGCGTCTGTTATAGGAGAGGCGCGGAGGCCTCAGGGTTGGGAGGCTGAATATTTCCTTTCTTTGGTTTGATAAAATATTTATATTTTTCTTATTCAGCCACTTTACGTCAAATAATCATCTTTGTTTCATATTAAAACGGGCAACAAAAGCATTCGATTATTTTTATTTAAAGCTTCACATCAGAGCTCTAATGGCTCTAACGCCTTGTTAAGTCACCAACACGTCAGAAAATCTGCTGCCTGCTAGCTTCCTGTTTCGTTATTCCTCTTTATTTCTCACAACAAAGCGGTCAATTTAAACCCAGATTCTCTTTGATTTGTTGCGAGATCAATTAACCGCTTTATAATGGCGGGTGTGCGTAAATGTCCTGTTTTCATCTCAGTCTTTAAAAATGTTGAAAAACAAACAAAGAATTTGCTTTATCTGTGGTTTCATCTTTTTTAAAACACCTTTTCACAATAATTTCATTTATAAAGATATTTTATTCAAAGTAGTGGCATTAATACAATTATTGAATATTCTAACTGAAATTATAAGTCAAATGTGGAAAGAGGATGCAGGAATTTGATGTTGTTTGTGTACACGTGAGCAGCTGTCACTGGTTCCAGGAGTTTAACCGACACCTCCTTAGCTTCTCCACAATCCAGGAGTGAGTGAGTGAGTGTCCAGCAGCTATCTGCTCCCTTTTGCCCGGCCTGGCTTCCAATTGGAGGAGCAGTTTCCTCTGAGGGGCGGAGTGATGCTGGAGGGGGGAAAAAAGGCAGGAAAGAATTTAACTGCGCTAAAGTCCTGTGTTGGTGACGGATGTCCAAAGTTCAGAACTTTTTCATTGCGCGTCTCGCATGGTCTCGAGGATGGGGACGGCTTAAGCAGAGGCAGCTTTTTGAATTTTAACATCAGCAGCAGGAACTGTGATTTGCGCGCCGCAGCACGAGAGAAACAGAGAAGTTGCGCAGACTTTTTGCACATTTTGGAGCTATACATATTTTCGCTTTTCAAAGAGAAGAAATGCAGGCTCGCTATTCCGTCTCCAGTCCGAACTCTCTGGGCGTCGTGCCCTACATCAGCAGCGACCCGAGCTACTACCGGGCCGCGGCCGGCGGTGGGTACACGGGGATGCCAACACCTATGAACATGTATTCTCACGCGGCTCATGAGCAGTACCCTGGAAGCATGGCCCGGGCATATGGACCGTACACCCCCCAGCCTCAGCCCAAGGATATGGTGAAGCCCCCTTACAGCTACATCGCCCTCATCACCATGGCGATCCAGAACTCAGCCGACAAGAAGGTGACCCTGAACGGGATATACCAGTTCATCATGGAGAGGTTTCCGTTTTACCGAGACAACAAACAGGGCTGGCAGAACAGCATCAGACACAATCTGTCCCTCAATGAGTGTTTTGTTAAAGTGCCTCGAGACGATAAGAAGCCCGGAAAAGGCAGCTACTGGACCCTAGACCCGGACTCTTACAACATGTTTGAGAACGGGAGCTTCCTGAGGAGGAGGCGGCGGTTCAAGAAGAAGGACGCGCTGAAGGAGAAGGAGGAGCGGCTGCAGAAGGACCTGCCGCCGAGGCAGCAGGGCCGGGACCCGGAGCAGGCGGTGCAAGGCTCTCAGCCCGTTCGGATCCAGGATATTAAAACTGAGAACGGGACCGTGACGCCGCCGCAGGCAGATTCTCCTTCTCTGAACACCGTGCCCAAAATCGAGAGTCCGGACAGCAGCAGCATGTCCAGCGGCAGCCCCCACAGCATCCCCTCCAGCAGGTCCATCGGCATGGACAACTCCGAGCACCACCAGCACCACGGCCAGGCCTCTACGCAGGGCTTCAGCGTGGACAACATCATGACCTCTCTCAGGGGGTCTCCGCAAGGGGTCACCGAGCTCACTCCCAGCCTCAGCGCCTCCGCCCGGACAGGTATTACCCCATCTTTGTCCCTAAGCTACTCTCCAAACCAGGCATCAGCCTATAGCTCGCCCTGTAACCAAAACTCCATCTCTACTACCTCCAACGCCACCTATCATTGTAACATGCAAGCCATGAGCCTTTACACTGGGGACAGAGCGAGCCACTTAGCACCGAGCACCACCGTGGATGAGACGCTGCCAGATTACTCAGTCACAACAACTTCATCATCCCTAACCCACGCCAATCTCAACTCCGGCCAGGAGAGCCACCATACCCACCAAGGGAGACTGGCCTCGTGGTACCTGAACCAGGCCGGAGACCTGGGCCACCTGGGCGCAAACTACCCTGCGCAACAGCAGAACTTCCATTCAGTCCGAGAGATGTTTGAATCCCAAAGGATTGGCTTGAATAACTCACCGGTGAACGGGAATAACAGCTGTCAGATGTCATTCCCACCGAGTCAGTCCCTCTATCGCACTTCGGGAGCTTTCGTGTATGACTGCAGCAAGTTCTGACCAAAGGAAATCGGAAGGAAAATAAAATAAACTCTCAGTGTTTTTACCAAGAACTGTGTCATAGAAACCCTGCCCTGACCTGGACTCATGTGAGCCAAAAACAGACTTGATCTCGGTTTTCCTAACAGAAAAGTGTTACTTCAGATAACACGTAAGTCTCTCTTTTTGCTTTTGTGGCTCTGATATATGCTAGTGACGTGTCACTTTTCTTGGACATGTAAATTGCATAAATAGTAATTTATTTCTAAACTGTAGCCGGATGTTCTTAAATGGACCAAAACACCCAGAAGTGTTTCTAAATTGAATTGCCTTATTAGTCCAAACAGATTTGCTCCATTTATGGAAAGAAAAAGTTCAACGTGTATATCTCCGTCATGTTTTAAATATTCTTCCATGTTAAAAAAGTATTCTGAAGGATTTGTTTGTTTTGTTTAATAAATTGTCATTTTATGTGAGTTAGAGCGGCGCCTCGTTTCTTATTCGCATATGCAGGGCACTCTTGATGTCATCTGTGTGCGTCACTTCCATTTTATTTAATTTAAGGATATAAAAGCCATTTTAATAAATGTAAAGAAAATGCCCCAAATGATGGAACTTTTTTATTTTACAAAGTCGACACAAAATCAAGACTGTTGGTATTTAAAACATAGCGGATGCATTTATAATGTGGCTGTAAATTTCATGTGCAAAATGTAAAAATTATTGAATTTTATTTCCATATTTAGAGCAGTTAGAAAATTTAAACTGAGTCAGCTGGGAATCAAACTGCACACACTTTGTTTTGGAGTTCTTTGTGTGTTTACTGGCGCATACCAGTGCTTACCGTACCACTAATGCCAAGGTTATTCCCCTTGTCACTTCAGTTTTGATGTTTGAGTTGTGACATGATGCTGGCCTGAATGAAGAAAATATGAACTTTGGAATTTATTGCATGTAAGCCGTCTTTTTTTCAACGAGGGTTTGGATATCTTTATTTAAAAAGACGAATAATGTGGCGTCAAATAGTATGGTAGTTTTAAAACAGGCAGTGGAGATAGATTTTTCCCCAATTCTTTAAAATATTCATAAGAAAACATATTATACTTGTAGAAATTTAATTCAAATAATGAGCTTGTTTTTATTCATTACATAGATTATTTCCTCTAAAACAAAAATTAGGATAAATTTTTTCACGTTTCTTAATTAAATATCGTATATATTTACTGATTGCCTTTATTTAAAGTTGAATATATGTATATACAGTTGCAAATTAACACAAAGTTAGAGGCCAAATGCGTGCGTAAATTACGCACGAGTCATGGAATAATAAAAAAACATAATAATAATAATAATAATAATAATAATAATAATAATAATAATAATAATAATACGTTAATTACGAATTTAGAGCAGTCACAATAAACTGAGATTTAAAACAATTAAATGTTACAGCATTTAAATTATGTTTGTTCAGTAATAAATAGAAACTATCAGAATACTTTTAGCAACAATATTTCCTGCAACCATGATGCCTTTTACATTTTAAACTCAGAAACACGCTGTTGGTTTATGCAAAGTCCTTTACTACAAACATTTTCAACATTTTGATTTTTAAAAGAAACAAATTATGTCAACATTATTTTTTAAGAGAAAAGGTAAAGAAATTACATAAAACACAAATAATTGGAAAAAAAATATGCTACATTCCAAACATTACTCCCCAAACGATTTTCGGAATATTAAACCGGAGTGGGGATAACCAAATCGTCTCTGGCCAAGTTTCTATTTTTCCATAACCTTCAAAGCATGGTTTTATGTTTTTATTTCTGTGTCTTTGGGCGTCTTTGTTTTATTTTTAATTGCCCACGCATAAGTTCTTCTAGTGCATCTCTCAGATTGCGCCACAATCATAAAGGTCATTAGATCCGTTCTCGAGTGTAGGCCTAATAAACAAACGTCGTGTTAGTCAAAAGATTGATGGCGCTCTCACAGAACGGACCAGGTCAGGAAGGAATAAAATTCAATCAGAGAGCTGGAATCGTTTTTCATGAGACGGAAAAGGCAGAGAGGGAGACGGGGGTCAACGAGGAGGATGTCGGCCGCCAGAGAACCATCAACAGGACACAACACGCACACACACACACACACACACACACACACACACACACACACACACACACACACACACACACACACACACACACACACACACAGAGAGAGAGAGAGAGAGAGAGAGAGAGAGAGAGAGAGAGAGAGAGAGAGAGCTAATAGAACTGTCTAATGTTTAGATTCTTAATTTTTTATTAAGTGAATGAGCTGAGGAACAATGTTTGATCTAATGAGCTGTAGCGAGACCACGCTCCTCGGTGGCCAAATTTAATTTCACTTTCATTTCCGTTTTAGTAGGAAGTGGTGGGAAGGAATTCTGTTTGTTGCTTGTGCTTTCAGCTATGTCCCCACTTAGTGAAGATGGGACAGATTTCTCACAACAAAAACATAATCAGATGCTGCTCGGGGCAAACTTCTCAAATGTTTCCAATCGCGCACATTGTCAGGGTGCTGTGCGCCACTTCTCTGTGTCTTCCTGCTGCGTTCCGCTACATTCCTGAAAACGCACAGCTTCCCTCGTTGCTTTGGGTCAAATGGCAGAGCCAAAAGCCACAGTGTTGGGCCTGTTTTTCGTATTTAACGAATCAGGACGATTTGCTTGGTTATAAACATGTTTTTTTTTTAAACGCAGAATGGATGAGTTGTAAAACGCAGTGTTTAAGTTTGATCACGTTTAAAATGACTAGTAAGAAATATAAAAATGGCAAAAATTATAATGAAATAACACACAAACACGTTTATTTAGAATAGTTTAAGGAAAAGTTTTAATTCGCAGCAGCGCCCGTCAGGCTGAGCGTCAGAGGTCAGGGTAAAGTTCAGGAAATGCGCACAGACGTGCGTGTTGACAACTCTACATTTTATATACGGGTCTATAGCTTAAAAGTTTATTTTTTGTCACTTTTCCCCGAAATTGCGCACAGAGCCCGTCATGTCTTGTTGCGCATGTTGCTCCCACGGTTTTCCCCAAAAGCGACGCACACGCAAGTGCTTGGAGCCTTTTTTGATATTTTTTCCTTAAACATGTGCACTTTATAAATATCAAAAATTGTTATTTAAAAAATTATATATTCTTTTATCATTACACTTTTACTGTCAGGCGAATAATTTCTCTGAACACCAACACCCAATGGCCCTTTTTGTTTTCTTTTCAAAAATCAGACATGGGCAACTTGGTGGATTTAATTATTTATATATTTCTATTTGATGCATTTAAATATATAAATAATAAGAAAGTTAATGGGATCTTGCTATTATTTTTGGTCTCGTAATCCTGTCTGACCCTCCCACCCCCGAAATCTCCCATGAAAACACAATTTTTATAATGCAGAACTTTGGATACGGATTCGTAAATAATCTCATGTTCGGTTGGGAAAACCAATGAGCTAAAGGCCCGGCGAGTCTCTGCAGACTGCGTGCACCTGTATGGCTGAGTGACCGCAGCTCAGGATGGAAAATGCTGTGTTTCAGCTCTGCTGCAAGCGCCATCTGTTACCAATTAAGACGCAAACTCTGTCTGCTCTGCTGTACGGCCAAACGAGAGAGCGGTTGGAGGTCCTACACTTGTCTGTCACACACACACACACACACACACACACACACACACACACACACACACACACACACACACACACACACACACACACACACACACAGAGAGAGAGAGAGAGAGAGAGAGAGAGAGAGAGAGAGAGAGAGAGAGAGAGAGAGAGAGAGAGAGAGAGAGAGAGAGAGAGAGAGAGAGAGAGAGAACAGAGTCGCCTTCAAGCCTCACAAAAACATGCTTTTCTGCAGATCTAGCTCCAACTTTCTAATTATAGAACATTTCACGGCCTCACATGAATGCTCCGCTTATACCTCAGCATGCATATTATTTATGTTTTCAAATTTAAATATAAAACAGAGAAGTGGACAGTTTGTTTGGAACAAATGATGAAATAATTTGCAAATGTCTGTTTTGAGCTTTTGATGTGAGCAGTAGCATCATGAAACCTGTACCAGTTTGTTAAAAAGAAGGTTTATAACTTCAAATCAAGACCTTATTCGCTGTGGAGAAGCACATCCACTGTGCTGGAGGGATGAGCAGAACAAACTTGAACTCTGTGTCACTTCTAAGCGGCTCCGCTGCTATTTGAGCCACAGAAGCAGTTGTCTGTGTCTTTCGAAGGTCCCGTCTCATTTGTGGGTGAAGGCGAACGCTGGGCCATGAAAACCTCAACAACAGCTCACTTTAAAGGTTTCAAGGTGATGAAGTGACTTGTTAGGAAGAGGGTTACAGTTTAAAAAATGCAAGCATGAAGTTAAGTTGAATATTTATATTTTATATTCAAAACTGCTTAAAATTTTTGGAATGAAACATCAAGTTTACTCATGAAATCCCAAATTTAAGATAAATCTGAAAACAAAACTTCTGATTTTCAGTACATTTTACAAAACACATCAGTCAGCTCTCTTACACATTCTGGGGTAAGATGATCATGTCTGGAGAAAATCTGTTTACTAAAGGGGACAAAAAAGATAGAGTTGGAAGTGACTCTTGTTCCCTCCGTCGACGGGAAATTAGACTTTCACACACGGACCAGAGGGGGAGGTAAAAATGAGTTTTCACCCCAAGAATTAATAAAAACACAATGGAAACCTAAAGAAAACAAACTTGAAATTTGATTTTAATAGGGGAGGAACATGTTAGTGTGTGTGTGTGTGTGTGTGTGTGTGTGTGTGTGTGTGTGTGTGTGTGTGTGTGTGTGTGTGTGTGTGTGTGTGTGTGTGTGTGTGTGTGTGTGTGAGGAGATCCTGGAGAGTTTCAACAGATTCTGCTGCAACACATTCTTATCCCAGGCACTGCTAAATCTGCTACTGAATCTTTAGAAATTAGTGGCAAAAGAAAAGTTTTAGAGCTATTTTAATGTCTGTTCTCCAAAAATCGTGGAATAAGCACGTTTTTGAAAACAGATACGTGGTATTAGTAATAAAAGACAGAAAATCAGAAAGTAAATCTGCCATTTTTACACTTGATCCCCACCAGCAAAAATATTTTTGATTTTCCTTTGATGGTTTTAACTTTCTTTAATTCAGTTCAACTCAAATAAACACTTGTATGCATGTGTGTGTGTGTGTGTGTGTGTGTGTGTGTGTGTGTGTGTGTGTGTGTGTGTGTGTGTGTGTGTGTGTGTGTGTGTGTGTGTGGGTGTGTGTGTGTGTGTGTGTGTGTGTTTGTGTGTGTGTGTCCTGAGCAGATTGTAGATATTTACTCACACGCCTCCTTCTCATCAACACCTGTCAATACACATTATGATGGGATTTCTAATTATTAAATACAAGAGGTCAAACACAAATAAAGATACAATTTAACGGCTAATGTATTACTTTGACCC